TGACAAAACATTAACAATATCAGAATAAGGAAGACAGAGACTTGTTAAATGTAGTTGTGAAATAAGAGTGTTTAAGTGTTATTTTAGTTTATCTGGGGGTGTGGCGGGAGGGGGGTGAGTTATGAGTGCAGATTTTAAGGAACTGTTCCAGTCCTCTCAATGATTCAAACCCAAACCTTCAGAAATAATGCTCCCATGCTCTGAGCTACAGAGAACTAGATGGTGAACTATAGAGTATTACTGAGTAAAATTGTGACAAGTATCTTTCATCCAGTATTGTAAATCATGACGAATGGAATACAGTTAAAAAAAGGAAGTGATTGTGCTAAACTTTTGTTCCACCAAATTAAACAGCAGCTCAGGGAGTTCCCACATTAGTTCAAAAAGAGTGTGGAATCTTTTTGACAGCCCATTACCTTGGGCTCTAGCAGGATGGACCCTATGGCCCATAGCTTTATGGTATTTAGGGCATTTCTCAATTCAGAGTCAGAAGTTTTCTAGGATTGTATTTCTTTTCCTTCACTATGTTCTGTGATTGGTTTAGATGACCCATGCTACTTTCCTAACCAATCAGATTGAAAACTTATACCACTCCAGACTTAGTCACTTATTTCCCACACTTCAGGCAGTTTGCTTGCTTTATTTTAAGTTCTCATTGGCTATCTGTGATGCTTCCCTTGCTTTTGATTGGCTGTTGCAGCTACCCTAGTTTTTGGTTTTACGGCACTCAATATCGAAAAGCGCTTTAGTGTTTTGTATCTGCACAAACATGGGAAAGTGGATACTGACTGTACTTTGAAAATCTTGGTTCAATTTGGAATAGCATCATATGAACTAAAAAATGTTACCCTTTTTAGTACGCAGTGGATGAGTGACCCCTGGTGAGTACGTATCACAGATGTCAACTATGGCCACACCATGGTGTACCAGTAAAGAGGATTGTGAGAGCAAACCAGATAGATGCTATTGGTCAGACAGGTGGAGTACTGGAAGGTGCAATATGGTGACAGCCATATGCAGGGTTCGACATCTCCGCGAGCCCGAGGATAGTAAAAATTTGGTCGGGCTAGTAAAACACCACCTTAGCCGGCTGGCTAGTAGTAAAATTAAAAGAAATTATATATAATTAGTTTACGTGAAGTTCACAGTTGATTAAAAAAAATAAGAAAGTTTAAATTGTAATGATAATACCAATGAAGAAGGCCTAAACTTTTCATCTTCTAGAGTCTTTTTGTTTTGCGTGTCGATCGTGAACATCTCTAGATGCCAGACTCTGCGGTTAATGGTCAATTTCTTCCACAGCCTTCTCCCTACCAATGTTGTGATGCCTTGCACGATCGCCTCGCACGATCACCTCGCACTTGAAAATTTACTTAGCTTTTTCCTTAAATAGCACATGTTATCACAGTGAAAGAAAAATGCCATTCTTTATCATTTTAAAAGACCTTGCCAATAAGTTTAGAGGAAGGTTTGCGTGTTTTGGGTTGAATTAGACCACGAGAGAAATCGATCCGGGCTACCAAGCTGTGTTTCGGGCTGGTAAATTTTAGAAATCACCAGCCTGGTGGCTAGTGATGCAATAGCCATGTGTCGAACCCTGGCCATATGCTACTATAGCAAAGGTAGGAAAATTACTAACAAAGAGCAAACTCTACAGAACAGAAAAATTAGACAGGCTTGAACCCTTTAGACTTGCTAGAAACTTGCCCTTCTGTATCAGAGTTGATCATTACCTAGTAGTAACCATCATCAGTGAGGCTTATTTTTGAGTTGCTAATACCGAAAGACGAATAAGTCTGTGCTTCACTTAAACTCTGAAAGCTCATTTAAAGATTAGTTGATATTCTAAAGTAACATTACACTACTAAGACTCAGATGTTATGGAGAGCGCCCATATTGAAAGCGTGGTGTTACGTAATCACTAAAAATAGAATTATAACATAACCAAAGCAAAGCGCGCGCTCTGATTGGTCAATTTAGCGTCCCCCATTTTCCCACGGGTGTACGCTGCTGACGTGAGCAAATGCAAAGACTTTTTCCGCGCGCGCTTGTTTTTCTGGTCGCGTAAGATTTGTTAAATAAAAGGGAACTCTTTAGCTACAATGTATCAATGTTATGTTATAAAACAAATGGTAAACACCACAGCGTACACTATTGAGTTATGGATGCACTTGGGAGGTTTGCTAAGCACTCAAGAAGCTAGAGTCGCTCTCGGCTATCGCCTCGAGCGACTCTTACGCTTCTTTCGTGCTTAGCAACCTCCCGCGTGCATCCATAACTCAATAGTGTACGCTGTGGTGTTTACCATTTGTTTTATAACATAACATTGATACATTGTAGCTAAAGAGGTCCCTTTTATTTAACAAATCTTACGCGACCAGAAAAAACAAGCGCGCGCGGAAAAAGTCTTTGCATTTGCTCACGTCAG